CTACTCACTGTGCTCAAGGAAAGCAAGCATTCATTATAGGAATGCAATTTCAGAAGGCAGATGGTATCAGGTCAGCAGAAGGGGCCTGTAGTGTGTGTGTGTGTGTGTGTGTGTGTGTGTGAGAGAGAGAGAGAGAGAGAGAGAGAGTGAGAAAGAGAGAGTATTTTTTTAAAGAGACAGCTTGTGTATAGTGTAGTGGCAAGACCATAGCTCACTGCAGCCTCAAACTCCTGCCTCAGCCTCCTGAGTAGCTAGGACTACAGGGATGCATCACCACACCAGGCTAGGAGCCTTGAAAAAGCTACACAGAGACATATGCTTAAAGGGACTCTTTAAGGTACACTTCCCAGGGATAAAGGAAAAACCCAGGCCCACCATATAGAAGTGGTTGGTACATATATTCAACAAAAGTAGAGCTGAAACCCAGAGTCCACTTTGCGCCTCTTTAGGGATCACTCATGTTCTCCTCTGCTGACCTCTGCCATGTTTTCAGTCAAGCTAGAAAAAGAAAGTTGCCATTGAAGCATTGCCCTCTTCTTCACATAGTCTAGTTGATGTATTTATAAATGGACTTTGAAATGACTTTCAAACCACATGATTTTCTACTAGTATAGATTTAGGTCCATTGAAGTCATTAGTTTATTAAAATTCGACTTAGAAGTTAAATGCCAAAAATGAAATGAAAATTTGGTCTGTGATGTGCTGAATGCCACAGGAACTAAATAGCAATCAAACTGACAGGCCAGCTTTCTTTCTAAGAGCTAGGTTTAACTCTGGTTGGAAGTTAAAGAGCTTTGTACAGCCTTATTATCCATCCTCCAAGCCACCTCATCCTGTATAATAGCTTGTGTCTCAGTCAGATTGTTTTAAGCAGCACTCAGGGATTTTCAGTATGTACAGTGAGTGCCTTCTGACCTGTGTTCTCAAAGAGACTCATGAAGGTGAAAAAGACAGCAGCAAAGTAAACAGCGTCTGCAATATGGTCGTGTTCATACAGGAGTTATCGTTTCTCAGATTCTTAAGGCTTCCAGTTAGATAAAATGCAGGAAAAAGTGTGTCTGCAGCACAGAAAAAACAGCATATTCTGATGGCTACAGTTTGCAAAGGGAAAGCCCTCCAAGTACACTTTGGACAGCAAGCAGCCCCAGCTCTCCAATGGAGACAGCCAGCCTCTGCCTGAGCTTCCCTTACCTGTAACTCAGAGACAGCTTTCAGTCCTCATGTAGCATTCCAGAGAAGTTCCTGTTCTCGTTACTTGGGGAGGTAGAAATAAGTATTTATTTGCAGTTAGTAAGTTAAGCAGCCTAGATTGTGCAATACTTTTGTCTGATTGATTGATTTTTGAAATGAATGCTCTACAAGCAAAGTGCACCATCCAGAATAGAGGGTCATTCTATTAGGTATCCCTGATTCAATTTTCTTTTTCAAGTTAAGCTAAAAAGAGGGAAAAATAAAACTTTTTTTTACTTTTATTTTTTCAGCAGCAAACCTTTCTCTCAACATTTGTAACATTCAGCATTTATCCTGATTAATCATAATGCTTGCTTGACTGCTGTCTTTTTGGGCTTGTATCTAAAATGAAAAATTTCTCTACCATTTATTAATAAAGCCTCTTGGGTGACTTCCAAGATACTTCCATCATATAAAATCCCATGCTCTCTATCTTTGGAGCTATTTTTTGACTGAATTCCATATGAATTAAATAGAAGTGCATTAAAAATAAACTATGTGTTATTATGCTAAAGCTGTGTCCCAAGAAAACAATTCTGTAATGAATTTCTCACTCATCCTGATGGTTCCATGTCCAAAAAAGGGATGATCCTTTAAGCAGTACATTAAAGTATCATTTCTTACAATGGTGAGGGCATTAGCTTTACAAAATTTGACAGTATATTCTTTGTCATATTGATCAAGTCTAAAATCATAAATGGAGAGGAATCCAATCCTTCTACCTGGATACTCTGTATTCAATCCTTTCCTGTCTCTGCCACTACATTATTTCAATTGCCAAATCCTGCCCACCCCAAGTTTATGACATCTCTATGCCAGTCCACTGAGCAGCAGCCCTGAGTCTTCTCTCCAGACTCTGGCTTTCTTCATTGTCTCTTCCAGTTCATCGTCCTGTCACACTCCTCTGACTGACCCCAGGTTTGAAGATGATTTTTGGAGTCCATGATTGTAGATTCATACTAGGACTTCCTTCTTAACGGGTTTTTGTTGAGCATTTTATGTACCAGAAAGGCATTGCATTATCTGGTTTAAAGCTAAAATGTTTGAACTACTCCACTGGTACAGGCTGATTTTTTTATTATGTTTCTTTCTTTAGTCTGAAACTTCCCCATTATTCATTCAAGATAAAAAAAGAAATAGCAGATAATATTGAGTAGATGTCTACGCGGTGCCAAGCTCTGTACTTGGCATTGGTCAAACAAGACACAACCTCGTAATCCAGAGACTACTGAAAAAAGACAATTTAGGCCAGGCGCGGTGGCTCACGCCTGTAATCCTAACACTTTGGGAGGCCAAGGAGGCAGACAGCTTGAGCCCAAGAATTTGACCAATCTGAGCAACATGGCAAAGCCCTTGTCTCTACAAAAAATACAAAAATTAGCCAGGCATGGTGGCAGGTGCCTGTAGTCCCAGCTACTCAGGAAGCTGAAGTGGGAGGATCACATGACCCCAGAAGGTTGATGCTGCAGTAGACCATGATTGTGCCACTGCATCCAGCCTGGGTGACAGAGGTGAAACCCTGTCTTAAGAAAAAAGAAAAAAAAGACAATTTAATCAATGATTATATCAGATTATTATAAGATATATCAGTATTACTATGATAAAATAAGTGCTATAGTAATAACAAAAAAAAAATCAGAATGAAGCTAATGTGAATTGAATGTTTGCAGCAAGATAGAAACTGGGATAAGTGTTCTACATGCCTTATTGAATCTAATCTTTTAACCACCCTATAATAGGTGTGCTTTACTGCTAAGGAAGCTTGGACCTGGAAAGGTTAAGAAATGTGTCCAGAAGTGAAGCTAGAAGTTGGTAGAGCTGAGATCTGAAGCCAGCTTGGTGGTTAGAATGCAGGGATAACTATAAAGTGCTCATTCGTCGTCTCTCTACCTCCATATACTGCAGTAGAGGCAGGTTCACACCTAAGACCCTTTGCTTGAAACTAGAGACATATGGGTGGAGTTTTGAAAGTGAAAGTAATTAATAAAATATTTGAAGTGATGGTAATGTTAGGAACAGACCTATTTCATTCACCGAAGTTTCAGGTAAAGGGTGAAGCTCCTGAATATAGAATTTCAGGAAGCAAGTTTGAGTGTAAATAGGTTTTCTGAGATCATACATGACTGTACCGTTAGTGGTCTTCTTTCTCTACCATTTTATTTTACAAATTTATGAATCAAAGAATAAGGCACATTTATTTTCATTGGGAAAAGTGAATTATGTCAAGTTAATTAAATGAAGCTGTTACAAGCTGAGTCTAGTACATAAATCCATCTGAAGTAGGGTTATCATATGGTTTCAATGTGAAAAATAAAGGAATTGAGGGACAGGGTGTGGAGTGCTCTAGAAAGCAAATCAGAAAAGCATCTTTAGTCTTAGCTCCCTTGCTGCTGCAAAAAGGAAGAAAGAAAACAACACTGTAGCAGGGACGTTTAGTTGCAGGGATACCTTTTTTTATGAGCCATTTTCAAGACTCCCTTTCCTATTATTGAACTACAGTTAGAGCCATCTTTTAGCTTTTTATTATAGCCTTGTAACTTACTTCATAGGATCTCTGGGCCATTTTCCTGTCTTCCTTTCTTCCAACTTCCAATTAATTTTTGTCTTTTTAGCAGTTTTTAGTTCTTTCAGCATTAGCATTAAAAAGGACAATAAAATTGATACCTTTTTCCCCATGGACACAGGATGTGGTCAAGACTGGGTTATTAGCTATTGACTGAAATGAGATTTGGCATGCTGTAAGTGCATTGTGTTGTTTTTGTCTATCTGCACCTGTTTGGCCACTGAGACAATTAAGTCCTAAATGGTAGGGATCAACATATTTTTCATTTCTCTTTCCCCAGTACATAGTTCAGTGTCTGATATAGAGAAGGCATATAAGAAACTATTCATTTAATGAAGGAGTGAATGAATGAATGAATGAATGAATGAAACACAAGAAATGGCAATACTCACATTGTTACCATACTCTTTCCCCAGTAACTACTGAAGTAACTACTTCCAGTGTAACTACTCAAGAAGGTCCAGAAGTCATAAGTTTCCACAAACATACGTAAATTCTTGCGACTTGTATAAACCAGTATTTTCTCTCCCTCTCCCCCCAAACTCTCTGAATTGTCAAGCAAGTAGATTAGGAAGCAGAATGTTGTATATACAGCCCTGTTTGGTTTTGTTTATAGATCAGTGGGTCAGGAATGGAATGTTATACTATTTCTTTCTGTCCGAGGATAATCTAATCTTGCAAAGATATTTACCAAAGTCAATAACAATTCCTACTAGGAAGACAAATAGTGTCTGAATTGGATTAAGGTGTAACGAGAGTGCCCTGATGCAGCTGTCAGTGAGCCATTCATTGTTTATGGCTTCATTACAACCCTAAAGGGGATATCTGTATTTCTCTAAGTTTAATGAAGCCACAAACAACCAACTTTTTATTGAGTGATATTGGAGATTTTTTGCTTTTAACTTGATGCATTTTAAGTTATGCTTAACTAGTTCTCGCACCATACCAGATCCTCAGATTGGCACTTTAGAGACCATTAGCGAAGTGTTCCTCTGTGTTAGCCACAGGGTCTAGGAAAGATAAGGGGAATCAATGGGACCAAGCCAGTTTAGGATGAGAAAATTCATTCTCCATCAAGGGTATTGGCCAACTCATCACGCTGCCTGTTCTGAGAGGAAGCAGCTCTGCTCACATCTCTCTGTGCCTCGTTAATGTGTCAGTGGTTCTGCCCTGGCTGTCAAATGACTTTACTGTTGTGTTTTTTTAGTTTTCAGGACTTTATCTCCTGTCTTTCTTCACCATCCTCATTGGGCTGGTGCTCTACTCCTCCACCTCCACCTACATAGCCCAGGACCCCCGAGTGTATAAGCAGTTCCGCAATCCTTCAGGACCTGTTGTGGACTTACCGACCACAGCTCAGGTGGAACCCTCAGTCACCTACACCAGCCTGGGCCAGGAGACCGAAGAGGAGCCTCATGTTCGTGTGGCCTAGGGTGAGGCCCGCCCTGCCCACTGAGGCCAACTCATTGGCCATGTTTTTGCCCATCATCTCTGTATTGTACATAGAGAAAGGTATTTACTAGGTGCAGTTTACACAGGTGGACTGCAAGGTAGCAAATCCTCTGAAAGCTTGTGAAAGGAGCAAGCTCAACATCACTGGAGACACAGGCTCTAATCCACCTGACTCGGAAAGATGCCTAGCTAATGTGTATCCTGATCACAACTCCCCTGCGTTCATTACTGTGAAAACCTTTGAATCAAAAGCAAGTATTATTGTTATTATGATTTGTATTATTATTATTGTTACTGTTATCACACCAACTTTCAGGAGGATGTTTTGTACTCCTGATGGAAACTATTGCCAGACCCACATGTAGTCAACATAAACCCCACTTTTCTATGGCAATTCACTTTTTAAGAGTCATACTTTATTTTTTTGCACAGACTATATGAGTGATGCATGCCACAGGAGCTCCACCCCTGAGAAGTTTCCTTATCCTAGGGACCTGGTGGCTCATGGTTTCCTCTGTTACCTGTTGGATTGCCTGCTCAATAAGTATTTTGTGCTGTGACCTTTGTAGGGAGGGGCAACTGACCATATAATTCTCTATTCTAGGAATAGATATAAAAGAAACATTTTAGCCTTTTTATATTTTGATCTCTGATTACTCCAGGCCATTGCCTTTCTGTTGTGCCACATGATTCTGCTAATCAAGTCCCTGTAATAACAAGATAAGGACTGTTCCATTTCTGTGGCTTTTGGGAGCCCCCAGAAATAATATCATTTGTGTTTAGGGCAATATATAATTATAAAATCTTTCTGCCCCTCCCTGTAGCCTCTCTTCAAAAACTATCTTTTCTTTTTTTTCTAGATTTCCTTAGTGATAATATGGAAATTAATCAAGGCGCTGGAAAAAGCCATGGTTCTCTGCCCTTTTAATTCTGTGACACCTTTTTAAAAATACACCAGCATGGAAATTACCTTTATTGTGGAAAATCATTGGTTGTGCCACCTCCTAACAAAGTCAAGGTGCTGATGTGGAGCAGTCTTTGAAAATGGCTTAATTGATCTGGCCACTTTGCAGTGGTAACGAAGTCATCGTTGAAAAAGTCTGGCATTTTGGTCATATTTGGCATCCATTCAATAACAGGTATATTGACACAACATTCTTATGGACACAGAGAATACTGCAGGATCCTGATAAGACTATGAATGATATGTCACTAGTCTAATCTGTTGCCCTTAAAATAGCCCTTTTTTCAAACACAGGAAATTAAGAAACACCACAGACCTCTAGTATTTAGAAAAGATTCTATGTGTCAGTATGTAACGTACTCTTTTAGTTTGGCTGACTTCAATACCGTTCAAAAAGATCCTCAATGGAGTTACAGGGTTTATAGGGGAAAAATACATGTTTATGAGACATTGGGCAATTTAAATCAATGTATGTTACACAAGCAAGCAAAGCAAAACACCAGTGGGGTCTCTGGAAAGTAAGAGGACAGACTACAGTAGAAGGACTGATCCCAGAGTGCCTGTACAAGGCCTAACTCTGGCAGGCAAAAGCATCCCACACTGTCTGTCAGCACCCACATTGCCTTTTTGCCTGCCTTCTACACTGGGTGAGTGGACTTACCCTTGGAGATGGAGAAGAAAAATTCTCTTCTCTGATATTCAGATGTAATGGTCATCTCAGTTCAGCCCCCTAGGAAACATGTTTTATTTTCCGTGGGGAAAGTATCAGCGTTAAAGCTCTATCAAATCAAAACAACTGTGCCAACATCATCTCTCTGCTACCTTTCAACCAATTAAATACCTTTCTCTGAATATTTTGTCCATTCAGATCCGAAGACCTTTAAAGACTGTGGTTTTATTTTTGTGTTTACATTCCTTTGGTTTGAATAATTTGCTTGATTTATTGCATTTTTAGTATTTATTTTAAGCCAGATGTTTTCGTCTTTGATTCATTTTTATGACATTGATTTGTAGACACTTAGTAAAGTCTTATGAGAAGCAAGCGGATGAAATTATTTCCAAGTCCACTCAGTAGACTGAAGTTTTTTAAAAATATAAATTTCCAAAAAGTTTGCAATCAACAGATGGCTAAAGGTTGCCATCTGAATTATTTTATAGGATATTTTAATTGACTCCATTGTATGGAAACCAAGTGTGAATGTTCAGATGAACTCGCTGTATACCCTTTATCATTCAGTATCCTCGTACTGAGACTTTCATGTCCCTGGGTGACCTCAATGTGTTGGTTTGTCTCCATTTAGAAAGGTTGATAATATATTGAATTGTTCAAGATCAGGAGTTCCAGACTGACCCTTCAGGAAAAAAAAAAAAAAAAAAATTGCAAAGAACAAATTCTTTTTCTGTGTAAAAAACATTGATCCTTTGGGAATGGGGTGGGAAATGGGAGTAGGACAACATTAACTTTAGCTGTTTTAGTTTCTGAGATTTCATAACCTCAGTAGACACCAGCAAAAATTTCAGTTTTTCAGTCCACAATCAATCTCTCCTCAATGAATAAGACTTTAGCAATTTGTGCAGAATTTGATCGGGTAAAAGCAAACTACAATTCTCCTAAACCCTGCTAGAGATTAAGTGGTGGTTCTCACTTCCTCAATGAAAACTTGCACTGGGGACAGCGCTTGCCTTGGTCAGACCTTCCCACATCTACAGACTCTCAAATACATGACCAGGTGACCAAGCAATGGAAAAATTTGCACCACCATGTCCCATGAAATTGTTTCAATGTTTAGTTTAGATATTGCTAACTTGTGCTATTAACCTTTTGACAAGCGTGTAGTATTGTTTGTTTTGGGTTTCTTTTTGATTTATAACTATTTAGTAGTCCCCAGCTAGCTACCAGTACAGATTTTACCCCATGGGTAGGATTCTATTGTTAAGCCACATAACAAAGCACACTAATTCTGACAACACTGCAGATGGAAAATACGAACCAAAAAAAATTTACACCGATAAGTTCAACAAACTGTCCATTTTTGATATTTGCATGCTCCCCTATGGACTGGCTGTGGCAATGTAATGCCTGTATAATGTTTTCAAATAAAAATAAATGCTTTATGAAAGCACCGAATTCTTGGTTTTCTTTTGTGTTTGTCTGCACTATGACAACCATGGAAGCAGCTCCCTTGGGATGCTAGAAATAGCAACAAAAGTAGATGGCTGGGTACATGTCAAAATAAAAACCAGAAAGAAAATATTTCCAAATTAGGAAGGGCACAATTGGTCTCAGAACTATCGTTTCAAAAGCCAAATTAAACATGTTCATAGTTTGCAAAGTTAATTATTTACCTGGGTACATAAGAACTCTCTGGGGCTTCAAGCCCACATTTAAAACACATGTAAGACAATATAAATTTACCCCCAAGAAACGGTTCCTCATAAAGAAGAAAGTTCTGTGTATGCTGGCCTTGGCACACAACAGACTTAACGGATGAGCATTCTTCCAGTGCAATGTTTATGAAGCAGAGATTGCTCATATTTCTGCTCAGAACTTACACAGCATCTTATAATCATCCCTCCTCCACTAACTGCTGTCACTTTGCAACCCCATAAGTACCTAGATTGTAAATACATTTACATGTTCTTGTCAATTTTTGCAATCAGACCTCAAAAATTAAATAAGCCAAGAAGACTGTGTGTCTGAGTTATATATTAAGATTAATATTTAAAGAAAACATTCATTTTTCAGGAAAAAAGGAATTGTAGCACACTAAGTGCTTTATAAAGTGCTCTCAGGTTGAGATCCATCATGAGCTGCTTTTATAAATAGTTGGAATAGCATGTACTTAACATAAATAATTTGCTTGAGAAATGTGACACTCAGTTTAAATAAGTTTTTTTCCTTGAAAAAATTTAAATCTTTCTCTAAAGTATTGTTTACTTCCATTTAGTAAGCTCTTTGATCAAAGACGAAATAAAGGTGAACTTCAGCCTAGCCTCTGTCCAAATGTCCAGCAATTCCAATTGATGGGGGCTCAGATCATATATACAATAAATGTATGTCATGTTTCCCCAATGAATTAAGATTTGTTTTCTTAAGAGAAAGAACTGGGTTTTCTACAGAACTTGAAAGTTCTTGCAATAGTAAGATAAGGAAGCACTTGAGTGATTCTCATGACTATTAGCATGAGAGAAAAATAGAAACAAGTAAAATTCAGCAGGAAGGCTGTAATTTATTGTCTTGATGTTCCACAAGAAAACAAATCGTAATGTCTAAAATAACAGGAGCTGAAATTAGATCCAGTTTATATATTTTCAGTGCCCAGCAAAATACCTTGCACATGGAAGACACTCATACATCTTGTTTTAAAGGAATCAAGCTTCTAAACCATAAATATAAACTACAAGGGTAAGAATTCTATTACAAAATGTTCCTTTCTTCTTCTATTACTCTTGAGTACTTTGTTTTTCTGTAAAATTCCTGCGTCTTGGAAAGGAAGAAATCACCATGTCCACTTAAATGCACCCTTCTAGGGAATTTTTTACAATCGCTTACAATATTTGGCCCTTCAAATTCAGGCCCAAGGTATGAAATAGCAAAGCAAAGTTTTGTTTTGTTTTCTCCTGCAAATAGTGTTTTGAATTTATAATGTTCCTTCTTAGTATATACACTGATCTTTCTTTTTTCCTTATTTTCTTCCTTTTTTCCTTGATTTCTTCTCTTTTTCTTTTGTTTATTTTTCTGTCTTTCTTTTTTCTGCAAGCATAAACAGAGGGTTCACTGTGAGCCACCTGCTAGGCAGGTCCTTTCATTGTCTATGTGGTTAAAAAAAAAAAAGAAAAGAAAAAACATTTAATTCAAAAAAATTGTAATACAGCTGGAAAGCCCTTCCCCTACCAGATGGCCTTTCATTGGTGCCTGAAAGGACAAACCACTGTGCATCACTTTTCAGACAGCCAGACAAGTTGCCTCCAAACACCACTGCAGCCTGATTAACAAGGAAAGCTAATGATCAGGGTGGAGGTCTCTGCGAATAGGCTCTAGGACTAGGGCCATCCATCTGGATGGACAAAGGCCTGGTGTGGACAAAACTAAAATCTGTAAAAGCATGCAAATGAGCTTGTTCACTGAGCCTCAGCATTAGAGCTGGGACCAATCCCCTAATGCTTGAAGAATAATTTCAGGACAGATAAAGGTAAATATTACTTTACACAATGGAGAATAATCTTCCTGAACTCACTGCCTCATACTGCTGGTATAGGTTAAAAATGTAAATGTTAGGTCACATAATAGATGACAGAGCTACAAGGGGACATTAAGTAAGCTGAGTATGCAATTCATTATCCAACGGTTGACACTTTCAAAAGTGAAAGTAGGCACTTAATAATGATGCCTGGACAACAGGTGTAGACCTGGTCCATCCCAGATGAACCTGCCTGTGTGGTCACTGGCTTTAAGAAATGCACTGGGCCGGGCGCGGTGGCTCAAGCCTGTAATCCCAGCACTTTGGGAGGCCGAGACGGGCGGATCACAAGGTCAGGAGATCGAGACCATCCTGGCTAACATGGTGAAACCCCGTCTCTACTAAAAATATACAAAAATCTAGCCGGGCGAGGTGGCGGGCGCCTGTAGTCCCAGCTACTCGGGAGGCTGAGGCAGGAGAATGGCATAAACCCGGGAGGCGGAGCTTGCAGTGAGCTGAGATCCGGCCACTGCACTCCAGCCTGGGCGACAGAGCGAGACTCCATCTCAAAAAAAAAAAAAAAAAGAAATGCACTGGTCCTGCCCTCCCCCTGGGAGGCCAGCAGCACGGCGGATTGCTGCATCTTCCTGACACTAGCTGCCACTGTCTGCAGCAGAACAGCGGGGTGGAGGCAACCACCTGCTCACAATGGTAAGGGTGTTTGTAGATTCTTAGTGCTGGAGGGCAGCACGCTGGCCTCAGCCGGACTGTTCAGACCTCCTTCTTTGAATCATCTATGGCCAGGGTTGGTAGAGCAATGAGAGGAGTTCCAGTGGTGGTATCTCAAGCATCTTCCCCGCTGTTTCATTGCTAAATGTGTAAAAATGTAAAAAAGCAAGAAAGAAACAGGTGACCCTAAAAGAGGCAGTACTGCTGGAATTATTTAAAATTATTAATAAATTACAGTAGAAGCCTACACACCCATCCCTTTCAAGAAATACTGATGACAAATAAACGCCTGCATGAATGAATGCATAGCTCTCATGAGAGGAAGAAATAGATTCCCAGGCACTGAAGAGTAGATGACTAAAAGTATTGTTTACTTCCATTTAGTAAGCTCTTTGATCAAAGACGAAATAAAGGTGAACTTCAGCCTAGCCTCTGTCCAAATGTCCAGCAATTCC